AAAAAAAGAACGACCTAACTTTACCGACAGATCGAAACAGACCAATCACGACCGACTTACGTCACTTGAGTCTTACAGCCAATAACATCACGGCAAAACCAACCGATCATTTCACACGAACTGGTATAAGAACATTCTACTGACAACAATCATTCACTTGACTCTGATGATGACATCCGCACAGGTTGTCGAAACGTCAGTCACTACCACCGACAACAGTCCTTCTCAGGACTACACTCACCCGGACAATCAGACTACACCTTCAAGAGTGTTCTGGTTGCTGACTACTCTCTCATTCCTCCCCCCCCCCTTTTTTTTAATCTCAACCTAAACAGGAACTTTTTGACATGCTCAAATTCCAAGCCTTCAATGTCCCTTGTGTCCCGCGCAACCACTCCCAAGGCGTCCAAGTTGAGACTCAAGACAGTAGGACATAACTATATACAATGTTAAGAGTTCATTTGTCTGGATGTTTTTTTTTTTTTATCAAATTCCATTTTCAAATAATCTCTATGGCTTTTTCTCAGGTACAATAAAACTGTACCACAAGTTCTTATCCGATGGAGTGTACAGAAAAATTACATCACCATTCCCAAGTCCAGTAAACAAGAAAGAATTTTAGAAAATGCAGACATATTTGACTTCACTATCAACGAAGAAGATATGGAAACTTTGGTAAGGAAAGATTGAAATGATTTCAATTTTGTTTTTACTTGTGCGACCCCCCTCCCCCCTCCTCGTTGAGTCCTTGCACTCTCCTTGCGCTCTCTTCGCTTTTGCCCGAAAAAACGCAAAAGGCGCTGGTCGCATAGGCTTAAACACATGAGGACGGTTAAGCACTCAACAAGCGTTTATTCTCAAAGCTAGCACGCTTATTAGTCTGTAAATACAACTGGGTTTCATTGGTATTGCTGGAAACGAGACTGAGCACAAATGGCTCTATAGGTGTGTGACTAAGGTCGTACGAGGTGTATGTAACTTTGATTCTCTTGACATGACGTATATGTACTTAATGAGCATGTTACTTACACAATCGTATTTCAGGATAATATGCCCACAGAACAGTGCGCTATGTTGAAGGATGTCACCAACTGACCTTGGAGAGGTTAACGTGAAGTCTCTCAAGCCATTCACGAACGAGAAAGCTTCTTCACTGATCATGAAACAGATGCACAACTTGGAAAATACATGTACACTTTACTCTGTGATTTGATGACCCTTAGGCTCGTTTATGAACCTTTCCAGGGACCGTAAACAAACATGCATGCTTTCTTCTTGATTAATAAATATTTTTTGATCTGCTAGCCAATGTTGATTCGCTTATTTCAGTATTTTGTGAAAATTTTGCTTATCGAAATTGGCGACTTTGAAGGCCGTTTTTAATAATAATTCTTAGTAGGGCGCTCAGCATTCAAATTCCTTTCATATGAATCTTGCATCTTCCCTTTAGATGATGCGTACCTACATTTCAATTAAGGCGACATCCTCCAACTGCTAAGTTTGTATTCATTATCATTATCTGTTTGTTGACTAATGCCTTCATTTTGTTCGGAGAATTCACAGGTTAATTGCTTCTTTGAGTTAGTGGGGTTAATAATTTTTTTTCCTAAATGAAGCGCGATAACCAAGGTAGTTTTCTGTAATAAAACGTTTACAGGCTAGCTTTTATTATCTCTTCTCATTGACATTGAATTTTTGCATATGAAATAGCTGTCCACACGAAGTCCAAATGGTGGAACATTTAGTATTGTTCCTTGGCTACCCCTCAGTGTAATTGCTGGGGTGTGCCGCTTGGTTCTTGTCCCCATCTCAGACCAAAACATGCCATTTTCAATTTTTGTTTTTCAGACATGGGCCCTGTTTCTCGAAAATTTCGTCAAACAAAATTTACTGCAAAAAGTTTGAACTGCATATGATAAAACGTCTCTTTGATACGGCTTTAGTTGACAGATAATTCCATTCAAGTAACAAAAAGTTCGGTCCAAACCGAGAAAGTTCCTCCACAACCTTTCATGAAGATACATCTCTATTTTGGGGGACACTTTTTTAAGACAAAGTGGCTCGCCCGAGGGAGATTCTGCTCAAGGAAAGTAAGGATAAAAGATGGAGTGGGAGGGGGTGAGGCTGATCTGCTGGCTCATTGATATAAAGTATTACTGAGGTATTCAGCAAACTTTTATTACTAAGGCTATAGATTCAAAGTAATGATGTAACGTATTATCGTATTATAAGATAATGGACACTGCTAAGATATCGTGATGATCTCTTGGTAATACAGTAATGGAACGTTCAAGTTGTTGCCGACTTTGACTTATGGCTCAGATAACTATTTTAAGTCGACAAATCCTCGTTGGAGCTTTTAATATTCCCTCAAGGGCTGCAAAAAAATAAAAGCAGAATGAGTAAATATTTATCATATTTTCTTGACGATTTTAGACTTGAGGGTGATTATTACGGCTCGTTCACTTTTGAGAACGATGTTCCCAGTAATAGACTACACCCATGAAATTCTCTAGTCATACGTTCAGTGCCTATGTTACTGTATTTGCCTATGTCACTGTATTTGCCTATGTTACTGTATTTGCCTATGTTACTGTATTTGCCTATGTTACTGCATTTGCTGGCTGTCCATGGAGATAAAACGATAGTCAAAAAGGGGGAAGGAAGATTTTCTCAAGCTGCTCAATTACTTTTTTTGGTGACTCGATTTTGCAAGGACGGTTTTTTTTTTTAACGAGACATATTATTAGTGTAACGAGTGTTGTTATCGCTGTGTCAGTGATGCTTTTTTCAACATTTTTCCCTGTCTGATACTTAGCGTGGCAGTATTCCGGTCTAAGGATTCTCATGGCCTGATCACTTTATTATGAACCACGGCAAATTTGTAATTGATGGCGATCGACGAGACCGTCCGCTTTCAGGAGAGGATAACGTGAGATCAATTTATCCTCTTTTGCCCTCAATGAGT